AAAAAAAAAAAAAAGATCATTTAACTGCAGAAACAGAAGATGAGACTGAGACTTTAATGATTTACAAAGGTTCACAGTTCATTATTTACCACACAAATGCTTGTTGTAATCCCGAGTATGCCATAAGCGGAATTACCAAAAGGATCCGTTTGTCGAGCAATAGTTTCAAGATAGACTTTAACAAATAACCCACAGATGTAACTGAGGACTTATCTTGCAGCCTTTCTTCTTTACCATTTCTTTTCCTCAAGAAGCACATAAGGATTATACCTAAAGTCATGCTACATAGAAACACAATGTAAAGAAAGGTTGTGCCGCCAGTACCTCCTCCCTGCAATTCGTTTAATCATATAAATCAATATGCATATGCAGATAACACGATATCATCAATTCTATTTCTCACTTTCATAATAAATTAGCAAGAGATTGATGAAATCTACATACCTTTTCATCTCGTACCATGGCAAGAGTGATGAGGTTGCCAAGAAACTGCATTTTGGAAGAATTTGCATTGTCTATTAACAAAATTTTCACCACACCTTCATAATAGAAAGTAGAAAAATAACTGTCAAAGTACTAAAGGGAAGGTATATGGCTAATGCACCTGGTGGAGAGCAAACATTCCCCAAAACTGTCCATTAAATTTCCCAATTACGGTTCCTTCAAGTAAGTTGTAATCATTTGCATGGCTGTGAGCAGCAGATGTGAGATATGTACCCTCGCCAACCCATATTATTGAGGCGGCAAATCCCATATATAAAGAGGATGGCACCATGGTATACCTATAAATCGGTTCATAAATAGTTAAAATTAATGAGGATATGCATATTCACTTCTCGAGAGAGCTCGGGTTTTAGCTCGGGACACTCGCAATGTTCAACTTCATCACGACAACAAACAAACCCACTATGGTAAGCTAAATGCCACAGAAAATAAAAAAAAAAAAATTCGAAATAACTTAAGCCAGCGACAAGAAATTCTAGTTGTGGCGAATTCATCACTTGAACACCATCATAGATTTAAAATTCAGACGAAAAAATGAACCAGCTTTCGTCTTAAATTGCGATAAGCACCTCATGTTTCTACCCATAAACCCACTTTTGAAACAAAATATTACTCCACAAATTTGACGAAATGAATCGGCTCCCATCTTAAATTTCGACACGCATCGCACTTCTCCACACATAAACCCACTTAAAAAAATCAAAGCCAGAGCTTCTTCTACACGCAAAAACACATGGAAGAGAACAAAATACTACTCCGCAAATCAAACCAGTAGGCAAAAATAACGTGAACTAAATGATTGATCAATATACCAAGAGGGCTTCAAATTGGCTGCTGTAAATAGCCAATAACCAGTAGTACCCAGAACCAGCGCATTCTTGGATCCCAGCTTCCTCACCACTACTGAAGCAAAAATTGAAAAACACGCAAACGATACATACAGTATCCCCAGTGATATAGTTCCCAAATCTCCTTCCTGAAAAAAAAAA